TCCATAAGTAATGATGGCAAAAATAATAATAAGGTGCAATTAAAAAGGCAGAAAACAATTGTCCACAAGGAACAAGATCAACCTGAACATCGGAATTTTTCGCAGTGAACGCATCAATACAATATTTCTATTCCCTGAGCACTTAAGGACATACACTGAGAATTATGTGATATCCCCATTTCAATAAAAACGACCACTTTCACCAACAGATTCATAACCAATAAGCTGTCGTTGAGAAGAGAAAAACAAAGTTTAAAAGCTTGAATTTAAATCTACCTAAATTATAAAACACTTGCTTACCCCATTGAAAGAAACAGCAATTGTTTGATTTGAAGTTTGCCTAACTGGGGCAATATAAGTTTAGGACAATTAAGAAAATATGAAAAGTATAAATGACACAATTTTATGCATAAATGATAATTGACAATTGTATGCTCTAATCCGATTATATAAATCCAGTAAATAAAAATAAATCAAGTCCTGAAAAAGAACGAATATTTATAAACTAGAGAGGATGTTTTCTGAATCGAACATAAAGATAACAGTAAAAACCCATTAACTGGATAAAGGTTAGGAAAGGTTGTTTCATTAAAAATAATAACATTATTTAACTTCTTTAATTAAACTTCATTACGATCTGGGGCATATCGATGTAATAACTGTAAAGAAGCTCCTTGATTGTATGCACGTGCTGACGAGCGCATAAATGACGATAAATTGTTTTATCTGCTTTGTTTTTCTGTAAAAAGCGATAAATAAGGAGTTAAAAGTAGTGGCGCAGATATATTCATTCTTCGTCCTTCCTTAGTTTCTGAACACTAGAATCTTATACCTTCCTTTTTCTACACCTATTATTGTCTACTACTCCCGATATTGCTGCCACTTCTAATACTCTGGGATTTGTCTTGATGCTTTCATCCCGCTGTTATGACAACTTGAGCTGACGCATATGTGTCACGTTTTATGTTGGATATGACTTTGAAATACGGGTATATCTACCTGACAAGTTCCAAAATTGAACAAAACGAGCCTACTGTATCCCACTGCTACCTAGATCCTATCTATTGTGTAAAATTATGTTATAATGGCTATATGAAGACAATCTGCGCATATGCCAACTAAGACTGATCGAATCTCAGTCAAAATATCAACAACAGTATAAGTCAAACTACTCCAAATTAGATATAGAATACTCATACTTTTTATTTAGTGAGTTCATTTTTTCTATTGAAATATCTTGTTTACAATTTATGTATTCAACTATTACTACTATTACTGTTAATACTTCTACTAATCTAGAATTTATCTTGACAATTTCATCTTATTGTGTTAATTTGATGCGGGACAAATTGAATCAATCTACATATGTGCAAGATTCTATGTTTCTTACGACTGAAACAACTTGTAATAGTACTCACACACTTGAAATAAATAACCATAGCTCGACAGAAATCAAAAATTTATGCATAAATCTCACTTTGAATTAAATCAATTATAACAACAAATACAAACAGTGAATGTGAAATTCGTACAAAAACTAATTCCCAGTGATATATATAATAAATGCAAATAAGTTTACAATCAGCTGATCCCAAATCGTAACAAATCACATGCCCAGGTATCCTAAGATCACCAGAACTAAATATTTATATGTATATATGACATGATTTGTACTATTATTAAAAAGATTTTTTCGAGATATTATTCATCACTGTACAATGAAAAACATCTAACTTCTAAGTAAATTAGTCCTTTGTAAACGCTATTTCGAGCATGGTTCCCATCGAAAGTAAGCATCATTTGGAGTCTTCCAAAATTAGAGTGTTGATCCTTTTGTTATGAGATTTCGTAGAAATTTATTTTCTTATCTCTATAATCAACCCTAGTAATTCAATATTTAATTCCACTTAGTATTCCAAAAGTTTCTTATTTCAATCAATAATATGATTACATTTATTGATAAAACTCTGAAGACACTGGTGGATGTATTGCTCAATTTCGTGGATTAGTTGGAGTTAGACATGAACACTGTTGGATCTCGGCCAGCACAATGGTTTAAAGGTTAAGTATTCGCGTGCGAGATCGATAGGTCCTGGGTTCGAATCCCGCGAGGTAAGGTCGAGCGCAGCTGAGGAGTCCCACAATAGGACGAAACGGTAGTTTAGTATTTTCAGGTTTTCCATGGTGGCCTAGCTTAGATTGATTCATGATCCCAACTATTAAAATTGCTATAATATCCACATAACCCCTTCTGAAAAGTCACTAAGTATATGTGTAATCAGATTGTTTGAAATGTATTGCGCAAATATCTATCGCATAATCCTGATAACTTTGGCCTTCTCATTGCATTACCGAAAAAAACGTGCTCAATTTCTTATTGGAATTGATTAACTTGTTTAACAGAATAGCACTAAACAAGGATTATTCTTAATTTTATCAATGTGGATTCAAAACACTATAAGTAACTGACCATTTTTTATAATAATTTGAATCTTAATACACAACCAAATCTTTAATTTGTACAGATGTAGTGTAAGTACAAACAGCTGAATTAAATTCAAATAATGACAAGGCTATAATTTATGGACAACCTTCAAGCGAGGCTAAACTGATCTTGAGAGTGAGTGTCCACCTAATAACTACGACCGAACTAGGGTTATAAATTAGTGTGACGTACTCGAATTATAATTTACATTTAATGGTTAAGATTAGAAATCAGAGTTAGGGTTTTCATCACTAACTGACATCAGCTATAATGCTATAAATCTATTTAACCAAATGGATGAGTAAATTTCGTGCCAAAATTCGAGACCTTCTATCTTATACCTAATTGGTTCGTCTATAAATTATAGTCTCACCTAAATAATTACCAACTAATTAAAGTATCATGTATATAACCCGAAGTACAACAGAATAAACACCAACTGTACGGACAGACTATCCTTTTCATCAATTTCTACTTGGTTTTTTCTTTGTTGAAAGAAATTACAAAAGCCGTGTCCACGTTCATTCACATTATATATATATTTCATAGGTTAAAATCATGAGTCAATTGGAGCTAGACCACCATAGAAAACCTGGAAGCACTGGACGGCCGTTTCGTCCTAGTATGGAACTCCTCAGCAGTGCGCATCCACGATTCCGCACCCCGCGGGATTCGAACCCAGGTTTTCCATGGTGGTCTAGCTTCGATTGACTCATGATTTCAACTTATGAAATTTCTAAAACTCTCCACAAAACCCATTCTGATAATATATATATATATAAAAGTATGAAATTGCTTGTTTAATTTGTTTACATTTATTTATACCTTATTGAATAAACATCAAAAAAATATTGTTTTATTGTTAAAAAGAGAGAGAAAAAGAAACAAACAAATCAATTCAGTCAATATGAAATTGACATTCATATATAGGTAGAACCACCATTTTATTCATAACACCAAAATAAATAATCATAATATTTACATAGAAAATAGGACAAATGTACGTAGTGTGTGTGTGGGTGTACGTGTGCGGATGGACAAAGTTCAGAGAGCGAGAGAAATAGACATAGAAACGATATGATCACAACAACAACAAAAAATCGACAAAAAAGAAGAGAAAGAGAAAATCCGACTTACGAGTAAGTAGATTTTAACTGTTGCATTATTAACATAATAAGTATAATGCGCTATGAAAGACCAATTAATTACATCACAACAGATTACAATAGTTATTAACTTTCATAGGAAATACACACACACAAATGTGAACGGAAGTAGCAGTAGCGTTGAAATAATACAAACAGATGAGGAATAAAGAAGACAATACGTTTGTCAGGGAAAGGAAAAGTGACAGGAAAAGAATTAACAGACATAATACAGCAATTATCATAAGTGAACAAATAGATTTTTAACTCTGTTTAGATGAAATGCTTACTGAAATTGAAGAATACCAGAGAGAGAGAGAGAGAGAGAGAGAGAGCATAAGCCAACTATCAATAGGATAAAAAGTGAAATAATCTCCATTCGACATTATGAACAATAATGTTATTGGTAAATACATACATCATTATGAGAATTTTTATTCGCAAAAATGTGAAGATATAGCAAACTTTAAGTCACCGGACAAATGAATTAAAAGCGATAATAATAATATCGAAGATCAATAAACCATAACTACAAGAACATGTTAAAAAGACTAAATCTCTTCTCTCTCTCTCTCTCTTGTACATACACAAACATATGAACACTATGAAGGAAGGAAGACTCGGTGGAGGCGGGCAAGGGAAGCATAATTACAATCAACTATTCATATGTAATTGCTTAATAATGGAATGCAAAACAGTTGTAATAATCACGGGAATTTAAAGTCTAGAATAGAGAAAAATAGAGATCTAAAATAACATACATGATAAATAAACATGTGTACACACTGTCACAGAGCGGATAAATCTATCTGTATAACATACTGAATGTCGATAATTTCAACGTACATATTATAGAGGTGAATTGGGAGAAAAAAAACTGACTAAGTAATTCACTAATCTTTCAATAATAATAATAATAACCGCAACAACAAAAGAAAAGAGAGAAAAAGAAGAGAAATAATACAGATACATCTTGGCATCTTATACATATAATTCATGTATATATATATATATAGAATTAAGCATCTTAATACATTTTATTAGTAAGACTATGGACAAAAGAAATTTTTAATTAATTTATTTATGAAATGTAAGGTAATAAATGCCTCACTACATTTTTTCCTTAAAAATATGAAATATATATGTCAATTAGTAGAGTTTATAGACTTATTCAAAACCAGTTTTGTTTCCGAGTAGATTAGAATAGGAAATGCTTATTTAGTGATCATAGTAACAATAATAATAATAATCATAATACTATGTTAGATTATTCACAAATAGTTTTGTTAATTGGAACAATAACATCGACTAATAATAAGGTCACAGTAATTGGGTCACAACACCAACACCATAATTTCATACACCAATATATATATATATATATATATATATATATATATATAGAGAGAGAGAGAGAGAGAGAGAGATTGGTACCAAAGATTAATTGAAGGAATGCTTTCCTGATTGATTTTTTTTGTGTGTAAATATAATGTGACTTATCTTTTTAAGTATTCTGTTTAATTAATTCACTGTAAAAAGAAAACTGTGTATGGGATACATCAGCAACTAAACACAAGGGATAATAGACACAGGGTAATTAAAAAAAAAATAAAGCAGAAGAAAGATATTGGACAACTAGTAGTTAATATAAGTTCGACAGGATACCCCATATATATATATATATATCCGGACACCAGTCATAACACAGATTATTGTAAATTTAAAAAAATAAATTGAGAAAACGAAAGACAAAATCAAACAAAACATAGACACACACACACACAAAGAAAAGAGACAAACAAATCTTACATATATCAGTCAAAATGAACAATGTTGTGTATGCTCCATTTATTGTATACAGGGGAATTATGATCATTCAACTAACTACTCTCTAGGTTAATACCATATACATCATGAATGTAATCATGACAACATTTTTTAAAAAAAAGTAATAAGTGTGAAATAGCCGGCACGAAACAACTACTGATATAAAAGATTGGCAAGACAATTGAGACACTTATTTAACCGAAAGACAACGAGAGAGGGAGGAAGGAGGGAGAGAGAGTCAAATACACCGCATAATCTTTGAGAGAATTAAGTTTTACCAGTGTTAATAGGTGTAAAACGATAAGGAAGAAAAAAAATCTGTAGCTGTATTATTCCTTCTTATTTAGTCGTAGTCTTTCAAACTTGATTACATGGGAGTAGACTTGAATAATCGTTTGAATCAGTTAGTAATTGACGATAACAATTATTAATAAGACGACTACTATTTTTATTTTCATTATTATTAGATGATTGAGCAATATTGTTGTTAGACATTGAAGATACTTTACTAGATGATGATTTCATTGAAATAGATTTTATATTGTTATTATTATTACTCCTAGGAAGACGATCAATTCTATCACCTGTTACATCATCACTAGTAGTAACAGGTAGAATGCGATCACGATGACGACCACCATTATTGTTGTGTTGTGATACAGCAAGCCTTTGTTTTAACAATCGTAATTTATGTACCATCAATGTTAATTGAATTTCATCATCACGATATTTTTGTGAACGAGAACGACGTATAAATTTATCTAATTGATTTGCTAAATGGGTTGTAGTAGCACTATCGAAACCTTCAGTTCTAGTGGCTTCTAATAATTGACTTCGTAGATTACTGACAGTTTTCCAAATATCTGAGAATGAATGATACATTCGAAGATAAGTTGGATAGGTACATTCAAATTCAGCTAAATACATTGAAGCTTGTTCTGATGTTGAGATTTCTGGATAAAGCCTTAAGAAAGAAAAGGATATAAATATAACTGTTTTTTTAAAAAAATATTCACAACTTCACATGCTGTTAAAATCTATCCATTGTATGAAAATCTCAGTTTATTGGTTTGATGTAACTGTCATAATTCAAAATATTACAAAATACTTAGCAGGCTCAAAGTTATTTAACTGCTGTAATCAAACGAGAACCAGTCCTTTAGATGTGGTATAATCACAGTGGATTATTGATTAACACACTTGACTTTCATTCACTAAGTTCAAGGTTCGAAACCCGCTCTGCATATTTCGGTTTGACAATCCGGGTAGAATCTGTATAGCCCTTATACTGTAAGTACTTGATGAATGAGTAAATTTTTAAGATATTACAAATCCTAGTCTGCACATACATACGTTTAATATCTAGTTCAATAATGTGGTTCTCAAACATATATTCTAATAATATGAATTATATATACATTGTGCGACAACATTACTTATATCAAAAATGCTACTAAGATATTCACAGAAAACCATTGAAGTATTAAAAATTGATTATCTACAAGACGCTAAACAGGAACCTGTTGACAATCTATTGTAAGTTGTATCATAATTGCTGTAAATAGTTTTGAAAGAGGATAATGATAATCCAAAGAAACATGCAAGTAGAACTCTAAACATCTAATACCATTCTAACCTGAAACACTGCCTTTCAGAAAAAATTACAATTCATTGTTATGCCAAATCTAACAATACTGCTTTACAATAAACAGATTTAAATATGAACAATGTATAAATAATTAAGAGAATATACCGGTCGATTTCAGCTAATTTACTGCTCAAATCGCCTACATGAAAACCATCTGTTCCGACAATACTTTGAGACAAAGCTTGTTCAGTTATACCATATGCTGGTGTATTTGTTGTATTACCTGAAAATATGGAAGAATGAGAGAAATAGACAAAAGATAAGCAAGAAATGAAACATAAATTAAATATATAAAGACTAGACTAGTACACTCAATAATTTTCCATTTCATGAAAACCAGACTGTCCGAAATAGGTACAATATACTTATAGGAATCTCTTAAAGATATACATAATTTGCTAAGCTAATATGAGCTATCTTTGGAACAGACTTAGTAGTGATACATTATATAATCTAATATTATACTGCCGCATATAAACAAAACATAAAGTATATATGTTTCATGCAATATTCAATTTAGAGATAGTGTTTATTCATAACTGATATTTTTGTAAGAGAGAACTACCATTGGAAAGCGCTTACATTTAAAGCATTATCTTTGAGTAGTTCAATTGATTGGTATTTGCATCAAAAAAGGTCAACCGATAAGACGATAATACAGAATCATTTGTTTGACAAATTATTAACCACTTTATTCGACAACAACATAACAAGTTGAAGTAACATATATCCTGTCATCAGATCAGAAGTTTCATCAAAACAATTTCAAAAGTACTAACATTGTTTCAATCTTTATATAAGTGCAACATATGTAAGCTAATAGAATGAAGTGATCATTCCTATAATACACAATGATTCACTTATTTTCAGCGTTACCAGGGCATTTGGGACCTTATCGAAAGATGTAGATGATACTCTATTTGCATTATATTAGCTTACTGTTATTATTATTATTATTATTTAAGCTTAACATAGAAATAATATTGTTCAGCTTAAAATTGTTTTTCATGAAAGTTGGTTGCACGGCATTTTTTATGTAATAGTAGCCAGCATACAATACTTAAAGTGAATAACTTCAGAATCCCCAACTTATTTTTATCCTTCAAGTTATAACAAGCATTCAATGAATGTTATTCACAAATACGAAGCTTTGACAATACACCCATTAAACCTAAATTAACTGCTTTATTCAGTAGTTGGATGTGAGGGTTAAGGATAACATACAAATCTCAAAACCGAAGTAGACGGTGTGGAACTCGAACTTGAGAGTAAGCGATTGAGAGTCGAATGACTAAACTATCATTTCATCACTACCATCAATGCCATACGCACAAATATATTAATAAGAGTAAATATCTTATAAAAACATACACAAGTAGTACACTCGACACTAATGTTTATTTGTGAGGGAGAGGATGATGATAGCAATTTACATTTTCTTGACATTTTGTTAAACAGAAAGAAGATGGATCAATCAGTAGAAACATGTTCAGAAAAAGTTCATCTGGGTGTCAACACATACACACATCTCAGCTTTGTAATTAATCATTGCAAAAGAAATCTGGTTAGTTGTTTTACAAGCAGAGCTAGAAAGATATAATACGACAATGTCATAAACAGGGGAGTTAGACTATATATATTGATTGTAAACGGTTACCGATAAAAGATTATGAGGAGACATATGCATATAGTGAGCAGAAAGTCAGAAACATGTGCTTTTCGTAAGAAACCTTTCTTTTTGAAACTACAATTTAATGGAGATATAGATAGTTTTCCTATATGGTAGGCTGATTAGAATTGAAAAAATGACTTCATACACAGTTAATTATTACTTGTCATTTTTTAAAGTTTTTCTTGAATTGACCAATTTAGTTCATCAATCTGTGGAAAAAGATATTTACAGGCCTACTGTTAGACAATTTAGCCAATTAGAAAGTGAGCATCTTCCTTCGTGGAACACTTCAATACCCGGGTTCATTTTATTATACCTGATTGATATTGGTTATGTGATAGATGGAACTAAAGCATTCTGAGTGATTTGCCTGGAATTTGATCAGTTCATCTCGATAGCATTTGATACGTATAATGAGAATTGTAGGGATTAGAACTAATAAATCTAGTCCTGTTTAAAATAAGTTTGAAATACCTTTGTTTATTTCTCTCTGAAACTCTTACATCTCCCTTTTAATACTCAGATATTTAAACCGATTATTCACACCTCCCGTATTACATAATGCTTGATTAGTTCATTTTATCAAGTTTTATTTACTTCCTGTGTTGAAATATTTATTCATTGTGCTATTATTTTTACTTTACTATAAGTTTGCACTTTTCATTGTTACCAATGGCCCAGAAAATCTTTTAACCAGGTTAGTAACTGTCATTTATATGCATATAAATAGATTATATTCTATTGAACATCTTTATGTTTAAAAACTCAATATAAGTTCTAACGAAGAAAGTTTATTCTTAAATGGTTTAATAAAATCTACAAATGAAGAATTTTGATTTATATATCATTAAAAGTATATTTGTGTATTTGAAAATGAAAATTTAAATCATCAGTTTAGGGGTTGTGGAGATTGTTAAGTTTTTGATTGAAATCATGAGTCAATTGAAGCTAGACCATCATGGAAAACCTGGACGGCCGTTTCGTCCTAGTATGGGACTCCTCAACAGTGCGCACCCACGATCCCACATCCGGCGAGGCTCGAACCCAGGACCCGTCAGTCTCGCGCCAGGCGCTTAACCAACTAGACCACTGAGCCGGCATCCAGTGGTGTTAATGTCTAACCTCAATCAATCCATGAAATTGCGCGACCATCTTTTATTGTACTGAGGTAGATACCTGTTTCTACCCGACACGGGTTAGCTCACTGGTCACGGCTTCTCACCAGAACTCCGAGAATTTTCTCACGAAGCTAGTCACTAGGGATCTAGCTTCAATTGACTCATGACTTCAATCAAAAAAATTTAAATAGACGAGTTATTTTATCAACCTTAGTATTCTCAATATGTACTATCTGCCAATTTCTACAAACAATTAATCAGTGTTAAATGTATACAACAACATTTATACATAGTTAGTCTGCATCACAAAGAGTTTCTACTTTGAATTCTCAAGACCATTATATTATATGCTAACAAAGTTATGTCCTTAGTCAGTTGAACTCATTTACTTTAATTATGGCCCCTATGATATTTTAAACATGTTTGGAAATTTTCAGTAAAATTCATTCCTTAGACTCTTTGAACTAAAGACCTAGACAAGCTAACATTGATGGGAATGTCAATTATTCAAGGTTGTTATAGAATCATATAATTAAATGGTATATTATTAATTGTTAATTGATAGTCAACCGGAGTGAAAATTTATGTTTCTAAGTTCAATGTCATAAGTTTGAGGTGATGAGGTCTCTGAGCTTGATGGACTGATTTTGAAGCTTTTAATGTTTTGATGAACAACAACATTAGTACGTACTTCAATTAGAAGTGAGTTATTAGGATTTCTTCATAAGTGGCTAACAACCTGTTTTGTTGATCTGAAACTTGGTTGTTATCTACAATTGTATGGTAGTTGTTTATAAGTGTTTTTTTCTCCTGACCTGAACTCTGACCTTGCAGTTGTTAATTCATTTCCTTATTGGTCGATAGATTAAATTAATTCTATTGTATATATATTGATTAACGATTAATTAGTTACAAGCGTCTAATAACTCTTTAGTTGTTTTCGTGTTTTTCCTGTCCAATAACTTCATACTTTCTCAATCGAACTTATGGTTACTGTTGTTCACATGCATTGACACGAGCGAGTGTTATATAGATGTAGACGAAGAGGGCATCCACTTTATCCTACGTGGTGTTGATTGAAATTTATCTTGTAGATAACATTTGGCGTGTAGCCAGTTTTCGAAATACATCCAATAGGTATTTTATTTCTTTATTTTTCGAATAACTCCAATCTGGTTATTCGTTTGAAAAGTGCTCGTATACAGCTGATTTTGTGAGACATTAAGTTATTGGTATGTAATCAAGCATCCGATTGGTATGAACTGATTTCCGGTATATATATATATATATGTATGAGCATCTATCTTTTTCATATTGGTTCTGGTGATTGACGTGTTTAATGATGATAATTTGTCTGTTTCTACCTCTAATGTGAATTTTATGTTGTTTAACACGCAGTTGATCAAATTATTAGTACTTTTCAGATGATGATGAATGTGTCGTTCACATAAAGTATACAGATTTTTAGTTTGATCATTGGCAGGATCGAAGTTTTCCAACCTCTGCATATATGCTTTCGTAATTAATTCGAATATCGGTGAACCCACTGAAGTTCCTTTTTTTAGTATATTTTCGAGTTAGAAGTAGGTTGTCAATGAGATTAATCAGGCTTTGGCATTGAAACTTAGTGTATTCTGAAAGATTTGTATTATTGGTGAGAAGGATGAATAGTGTCCTTTGTTATATTTGGTTCGATAGAGGCAAATTGGACAATAGCATTAAAGGATACCTTCAATTTGTTGTTGGAGATTAGATCTAGTGATCATATGAGTTCGTCAGATATTTTAACGGCTGTGATAATTCTTGAAAGATTGTACGTAGAGGTCCATGGAGGTACAACGACTGGTCATAGAGGGATGTTCAGTTTGTGTAATTTTGGTATACTATAGGTTCATTTGACCTCATTCTCCATTGACCATATTTTGTCAGTAGTTCCGCTTTGACAAGTTTGTTGACAGTCCCGTTGATCTTATTATAAATTTTTTGGACAGGGTTATCTTCCATTGATTGATATGCACTATCGTCTTTGAGTAGCTCCTCAGACCTCTGAATGTAGTCTTCTTCATCCATGAATATCGTGGTTTATTCATTATCAGCAGGAATTATGATTGTGTTTTTCTATATTTCCAGTTATGTTAACGCCTTTTGTTCTCGCATAGTTAATTGATAGTAATTTTTCTTTTGTTAAACCAGGAGTACCACCGTTTGTTGAGTTTCTTCACTTAGTAGTGAAATTTTGAGTGATGACTCCAGCGTTGCGAAGAATTCCGTTTTCGACACCTTTTCAGTATCGTAGTTTTTGAAAAAGACATTCTTCCACTTTGGTTAGGGACTGTTTGAAGAGTTCATTACGCAATCGTTTATTTCTGCTTCAGCTGGTGTCCGAGAGATTTTGGTCGATTTTACCCTTAATATTTTGTCTCTCCCTTCTATGTCGTTTGCTTGATATTTTGATCGCAATTATTAAGGTTGTTGCACAAAAGGTCAGTCTAGGTCTAAATAACTCAATAATAACATATCAGGTTGTAAAGCTAAGTGATGCCTGTTTGAATCTCACATTACATAGACCGATGATTGGTCTGCTGGATTTGTAAAATTCATCTCACAAACACGATGTGAGAAACCAGTTTAATCAGTATATATATATATATATATATATATATATATATATATATATATATATATATATATATATATATATATATATATTAGCCTAACAGATTAGAAATATAGTACCCAGAAAATTGAAATGAGTGACTATCGATTATAAAAAGTTTGATACTTCATGTAAGCCACGTTATTTATGTAAGTCATGTGAGTAGATAATAAGCAACAAAATCAACACACAGAATACACCATTTATGGTCACTATTACGAACTGATGAACACATTGTTTTATCCAACAAATCGATGGCAGTTTGAGTGTAACAATATAAATACCAGTTATAGACTTAAAATATGGCAGAAAAATTATCTATGAGATATTGCTATACATTGAAACTACATACAAATACAAAACCATAAAAATAATTTTGGGTTAAGTTAAATACAACTCATCAAATAATGAATGGCATATTACGTTCTACTAGAGAACTATGGAAGCATGAGTATTAGTACGGAAGTCTGAAGTTATTTGTTTATTTTTCGGTTAGTTGTTTTTTTAATCGACAAGATTGTGAATATGAATAGGTTAAGTTAGGTCAGAATATACTACAAATGTACAGCTCAGTCAGTAACAACGTAGAACTTCGTACGTACGTACATCAGTTCGAGTTGCCATACAATTAATATCTAATTTAATTATTTTAATTAAGCCGATGTCGAGTAAAAGAGCTCTAAAGGTGATTAGACAGAGGAATAGGTCTGCTGATGATTTATATGTTAAAAGTAAACCATTGATTTTCATCTCAAGTTCGAAATACGATGGAACTGTGTGAATAGATAACTTAAACAATAAGAGTTAGGTAGAAGCAGAAAAACGTTTATACAAATCTGTAATAAATTTCAGGTTTAGAAGCTCATTTAGGATCAAACTTGCTGAGTGAAAGTGTGATATCCTATGTAGCTTTTCAAATCGAATTAAGGATTTAGATCAAGAGCATAATAGTTGATGGACATGTTTTTAAACAAGTCAGATATGATATGAAATACACAAATGTATTTACTGATTTTACACTCAATGATGAACAATATAATATAAACTCGTCAAATCATCTCAATACATTGTTTCACTAGTTACAAAATATTCCTATACAACCTGAATCGGAAATTGAAACACTTCCGTCAACTCTTAGGGACGTTCAAAATAAAACATTCAAATTGAGGTGAGAAAAAGCATCAGGACTAAAAAAATTGACTCCAAGTGGAGAGTATATCGTACAACAGTCTTCTCTGTACTACACTATGATTTTCAAAAAATGATTTATGAAAGTGAAAGACAAGTGTCAGTTAAGTGTTTGGATATAGGTGTCTTCAAAGCGTTAGTCGTGCATGCAACTGAGTGAGCAGTGATAGTGCAAACTGATAAGCAAACCAGTTGGAGAGGTAGTGGAATCCTATCGGTTGGTGTGATCAGGACATGTGCTACCTCTATCCAATCACTATTTGCCTCAACCAGAACGTTAACTGGAGTAAGAACGAGTGATGAAACCAGGACGCACCATCAGTCTACAAAAGCATTGGGTATTGGATAGAAGCACTTCGACAGGTATAAACTACCTGATTAGGAACCGCATGATAATCGATATCAGTGGTTAGAGGCGCTAGGTGGCATAGCTTAGAATAGGTCACGATGGTACAGATTTATTCAATCAGTATTTCTTTAGATCTCGAGCTCAGGGATACCTCAACACATACCATTTCATTCTAACATTCAAAATCTCCAGTCTCCCTCACTATTGTTGATATCGCTATTATATTGACTCATCGTATTTTTCTCATTAGTCATGTCTCGTTAGAGTGATAAGGAATAGCAACTTGAGCTAAGGCATATTTGTCTCAGACTATAATGATGATGGTTGACTGGCCGGCAGGAAAAGTACGTATTACAGTAGGGATTATTAATTACAAACAAATACTCTTAATTTCACCCACTACAAAACAATGGAGGTTCGGTATTTGAAAACCAACTGACATTTTACACTAGTCCAATAAACAATCGACAAATATTTTCGTAATTTCATTAAACCCTAAGACAAGGATTATGGGGTTGTGTAACACTGGTAAACCAAAAATAATAGTATATAAACATGCAAATTGTTCAATTGTACCGTTTTGCATTTTATACACGATGTATAAGATTTAGAAGACAAGTGAGTACACTAGCATTTCAAACAGAAGTAAATGATAAATCATTTAACACTAAGGATCAATAACCGTTATAAAAAGATTTGAAAACTAGCTATCACTGGTAAACTGACCTGTTATAATTAAACATTTGGTTTTAATCACATTATACTTGCCACAATTCAACTTAGCATGATATAAGAAAACTAGTCATTTCATTTCACTATTGAGTGATCTGTATACTCTCGAACAAACTATTAATTTTTCGAACTGATTGTATTATATTAACAAATACCCAAAACTTACCATTAGACAATTGATCTTCAGCTTTTAAGCGACTAGACAAGCATTCAGAATGAACAGACATTGTCAAATGGCATCGAGATGTAGATCCTATTAATCCTTCACGGCGATTGTCAATATTAATACTACTGTTTACTACTCCACTAGAGGCAGTTAAGCCGTTGTTTGAACCACCATAACCACTGCTACCAGTACTTGAATTGGAGAATGGAGTGTGTTCGGCACTTTCTCCCTCACTCCCACCGGCTATATTATATGTACAAGGTTGATTTGAACGACTATACGTATCAAGTGTGTGAGGGTTATCGTGGAGTGGAGGAGAAATAGTATTAGTTTGATTATTATGATCATCATTGTTTTGATTTGGAAATGAATGCATAATGGATGATCTTGAAACAGTTTTATCAGAGGTAGAATATGTTAATTCTATTTGTTGGTCAGCAGAACTAGAGGGCGTATTGGGCACATCTAATTTAGCACGTTTATGGGGAGAAATTGTATTTCCAGGATTTGTTGAAGTAGAACGTTGACTGCCAACATCATTTGCAGTAGACATAGTAGGATTTTGGTGACGAACACCGACAGACTTATCATACACCTGGGAATGTTGATTAAAACTGGAGATCTGAGTTGAGGGTGTTGAATTTGTGTTTGCATTGAGTCGACGAAATTTCTGAGAATAAAACAAAAGTAAATACAATAATGAGACATTATTATCTGGATACCAATAAAATTTAGTATGCAAAGTAACTGAAAAATGGAATGATAAATGCTTAGTAGTAAATGTGTTTTAGATACTTAGCTTAAAACCACTGGATTACACGTTTCCTGCACCGTTTCTTTCAATATGAACATTCGATTGATTTATTCAATACATAGAAGTGATGTACTGACACAGATGATTGATGAATTTTGATTTTTGAAATTAGGCAGAAGTCGATTGGAAACAGAATCTGTCTGTACCAGCAACTTCAATTTACGAAAATAACCAATAATTTTCTGCAAGTCACACCCGATTCTGTCAATATAATAAAACTTATGATACCAATAAGCCAAATATTCATGGGTAGATATACATTGAGAGCTCTTGGTCATTATAACACTGGGATGTATTTGCTATATCTGAAAATTCGATAAAGATTCACCTTGAAATTTATTTATCAGCTAATAAAATTGGATCTATAAATAGTTCCTATCCAAACTAGGTTGGATACATCAGAACTGAGTACGAAATGATGATTTTGGCTATTAAATAATTTATAAGCCTATAAATTATTAATCATAGTATTTATGGTCAATCTACAAGTTATCATCTTCCTTGAGTCTAACTTTTTGGACTAATATTTAGAGATCTCTTGAACACACAGATTTCAATTGAGTGAGAATAAATAAGTAGTCAACCAGATTCAGTGTAGATTTAGACTTATAATCAATAGGAAAAGACAATTGTATCACAAGATAATATTAACAGGACGTAAACAAGTTTGAAATGTGTTGGGCTTTAAACAACTTCTGAAACAATTCCTAGGGTGTACAACTGAAGCCAATGTTTACCAACAACAAAAAAGCAAATATATATTACATCAATCACTTTGATATGAAAATTTTTCATAATTAATTGTGATAAAACTATTTAAAATGTACTTAGCTAATACAGTCTGCTATTGAGTTGTATGATCCAAATATTCACTCATTTACACAACTCTCTCAGTTCCGAGACTAATAGTCCCGGACAATCAACTAGTGTACAAGTAGAAGTTACTGAAACCAATTGTTCTTTTAAACATTCCTTGTTTCTTAACACAGAAAATAACTAATAAGGCACAAGGAAATTAAAATCCTAATGTGAAATCAGTGATATTTTACAACTAGACATTAGAATTTTCCGCATTTATCTATATAACGTTGTAAGATCCTTTTCTACTACTCATCAATAACTATCAAAAGATTTAATTTTATGAGCTGTAGATTTAGATATAAGGATCTCTACCTAGACAAAGTGATTACATGGATTATGTAATTACTCCATGTATAAAGATTTAGTCATCTACGAAGGGTTGCCGAAATGTGGCAAAAATCGATGAAAAGAAATTAAGCCTGGTAAAATGTACGAATGATACTGAACTTTGGTAGCATTTACAAAGCATGTACATCAGAGAAACCATATAAAAAAATGAGGTGACCATACTTTAATACTAATATCGCAAAGGCAGAATACTACAAAAATTAAAATTAAAACTACTTTTCACTGAAGATTTGAGGAGTAAAATCTAATATGAATGATGTCAAGTTACTTTTATAGGAAAGATAGCTAATCTGGGAACACAAAGTAGGTAGTATTAATATATTAGGAGAGAGATCATTCATGTAACATATACCAAAAATGTAATCTACATTTTGTTGCTTGATGTCTACACACAACGATAACTCTTGTTAAGTCCACTATTGACTATGAAAAATAATTGAAAGATTTGCAAACGACTTGAACAAAATTTTACAAAGTCAACATAGGAATATTCTCACCTCTCGAAGTTCTGATTCATTGGCTCGCCACTGATCCAACAGTCCACGGAATACTCCTAGACGGGCGGCAACTTCCACATCACTCACACCTGCACACAACATATCTAGTGCAGCAATCTTCTTACTCAATGCATGAGGTGCCGAAGGAGCATTTGCTCGTGTTGGACGTCGAGTAAACTGGTCGTCAGAGGGGGTGGACGAGTTGTCAGGAGAAGCGGTTCGAGATCGGTCAGTGGGAGATTTGGGAGGAGTTTGAGACTGCTGACTAGTCTGGATAAAGAGCAAAATGCCGAATGATGAAAATTAACTTAAAAATTCATTCAATCTAAAATACACAAAACAACTGTTTGGTCTGAGCTAAGTAGTTTCGGACATGAGACAACAAGAATTTAACATATCAGATAACAAGCAACGAGAATCACCAACATTGTCTGTTGAAGTCGAAGCAATAATCAGCACGTTATACAGATCAACAACTTAAAAGTTAATAACTAACCTTCAAAGAAATGATCCGTTTTCTCTCAGCACCAGTATAACCTGGCCAGTTTTCATCTAATTCTGATACCACAGACGGTATAAGGTAATATGCCGACTGTCTTCCAACACGACCCACTGACGACAATATGTCGGATATTTGGTCTTTCTGGGTATGAGATAGGCCATCACGAGACAACCGTAATAATAATTCGGGGCGCTGATAAGGCCGTAATGCCAGTATGTGAATAATGCGTTCTCTAAAATGTATATGGAAAAGTATAATATATAAATAATATGGTTTTAGAACACAATTGGGATGTCACAGTGCAAACAAAACTAACCTTCGAACGTAGGTACACATCTTTCATATAGTGACCGGCAATAATGTGCCTTGACATGAAACGGAAGTTATACACCAAACGTCACTAACAAAGCATTATCCATATTAGGCGCACTAAACCCAATTATCACCAAACACATCATCCCTATATTTGAGGTAGCTTCCTTTATAATATCAAATTGAACAAGTACTTATGAGACCCTTGACCAAACGAAGGAGAATTTAAAAATATGGTTCACAAATTAGATACAATGTTACAAACTAAACCATATTTATGTCGAAATTAATCATATACTGTCTTCTCAAGTAGGTGACGACTATCGAGGCATATCACAAATGACTTACAATAACCGATATTACTAAACACATGTCAAAATATTACGCGAAAGATGGTACTTTAAAGCCAGTGGAACCCACGTGTACAGTATCATAGTAAAAAGGCTAACTTTGAACTAATTTCAAGAAAACAAAGCAAAGCAAGGGTAAAGAACTTCTTACAGCACTTAAACTACTCCTAAATTGTAATTATAATCAGAAAATTATGCGCACTTATGTAGTTGGTCAGCAACACCTATATCACATTAAAAAGAAGCTAGTGAAACCGACGTTTTTTACAGAAGTGAATCAGTTAAATACTTAACCTGATTATGACCGATAAGATCATCAACAAATAAAAGTCAGTCAGTCAACTACAACGTAGGAGCAGGCAGGTTAATATTCAAATCCATAAAACCTACAACTAGAAGTAAGAAGGCCTTACGGTACATGACCAATAAATTTATATTAAATAAAATCAAACGAGTTACGCTTCGGGAATCATAAACTACCACCAAGTAATATAGTACTACCGTATTTACTCAGATATAATGTACACAGCTGTATGGTTTCAATACAAATGTATAATGTAGTAAGAACAATAAGATAGAAACCTACAGTGGAATGCCATGATAAATTTCCCAAATATAAAAGTTTTCAGTTAGATTGTTGGTTACGTACAACTAGGATTTGATCATACGATATATATATATATAACTATGCACCACAAATGATTAAGTTATATTTAAACGATGGCAAATCTTTATTACTTGAGATGTTATTGCGACTAAACGAAGAATGATCTGCAAATGGTAGACAAACGAGTCTTACCAACTAATAGTGCACTAATAAAAAGTAAGTACTTCAACAGCCATTGATTCAGAGCCAAAACAATCCATTCAATGTAGAACTTCCAAACAGCCACTACGGTATATTAGAGTGCCAACAGCCTGAGATTACACGTACATTTTTCATGTGTATAAGCAAGAAGTAAACACACCTCAGTGAGCGTGCCAAAACGTCTGGATTAGATAGTGGAGGACTGGGACCACAACCAACAGGATTCTGGGACTGAACTCGATTGGCTACGTTAGGGAAATCTATGTTCTGAGGTGAAATTTCATTTCCCTTTCCCTTCAAATTCACACCCTGATTGCCTTGTTTGTGAGTGGATTGAGATGCTGCTGTTCTTGAAGCCATGGATTTAGCAGATTTAATCTCTTTTGTCTGAGACTTTTTGTTTTCGTCTTCTAATTGTGTCATTCGCTCCTTAGCCGCTGAGAAGCTATCCTCCTTAGCATTGACCGTGATCCTGGAGACCATCCTTCCCAGACAATGAGTTGAAACTCTTGAGTAAACGGTAGGTTACATAAGGAAAATTCCTTACCCTTTGGTGCGCAAGCAATTGAAAGATTCATCGTGAGTACTTGTTAAGCTTGAGGTACTGAATGTAAATCTGCTGCTGCTTTTCCCGACAGGAACAATAAATGACTACAGAGGTGAAATAATTATATAATAGAAAATTACTCCTTCGGACCCACTGAACGTAATGCTAAATTTGTGGTTTCCCTTTATTAGTTAATCAACATAATACTTGAATAAAAACTTACTGAACTGCTAGCAAGTTGCTCAATATGTTTCAAGGCAGAATCAGTAAGACGAAAGTGAACTAGTTCCAGATCGTTATATGAAGCATCATCGAACACAAAACTAGAATCCTTCAGACAGCGGAGAGACATACCAAGTGCAGACGCTGCGGATAACGAAGTCAGCTGTAACCCGCACCCGCCTTTAACTCAAAACTTATAGCCATTGACAGATTCAAACAAAAATATAACAACTCATTTTTCAGAGTTATTTTGGTGTAACGATGTGAGGGCTAGCATCTTTATATTATTGAAAAAAGTTTAACATATCTTTACTACATTCTGTTACAAGCTAGTCAGTTTCTTTGCCCTTGAATTATGTTTTTAGCGAACGGTTTCAGGTCTTCAGCGTCGTCCAGCTTGTTTTGACAAGCGACTCACTTTCGATGATCCGAACTACTGTAACAATCTTTTGGAATCAGAATGTTTTGAAGAAGATGATTAACCTCACCGAATATTGTATGATTAGAGTTGAAGAACAGGGAGGATTTTAAAAGTAAAAAGAATAATAATATAAAAATGTCCAAGATGGCTTGCCAAGACAGCCTCAAGGTAAGTATTTCTGACCGTCCTTGACTAACGTCAGTTATGTGAGAGCTTTGTCTGTATTTTCAGCGAACAGTCACCTCTGTTGTTCAGACTATCTATCAAAAAATGTCCAGGCTAAACGTCGCCTGAACGTTGAAGGAGTCACGGCTGCAGAAAATGTAGGTGTTATCTTTCTGCTAGGTTCATATAAAAAACAACTCGAAGCTTCATCATTTAGTTGAATAGTTACAGTGTGTAATTGTGGTCTACTGTGGTAATGGTCCATTTATTTTCGCTACCGATATCGTAGACCTAATTCCGAAATGTCAGATTTGTCATGATGTGACTTCCAAATCCATATGATCGTACATGGAAGCCACATCATAGTCTACACTGACTTTTTCTGTCTTGTCAATCATCAATATTATGCCCAGTACTTTTGAAGAACATATTTCGGCTAGGGATGAAGTAATATATTGAATGTGAGAAGGTACGGGTTACACAAAACGATTATGTCTTCAAGGATGAGCCATGCCATACCGATTCCTTGTTGCTGCGTTCACCATTGTTGACCTTCTCTTAGTGTTACATGTTGAACGTAAATCTTTTCAATAAGTGTATTCTCGGCTTCGAAAGTCGTGTAATTAGGAATCAATCCCACTACAACGGAAATCTACGAATATTCGGCAGAGCAACTGACTGGTGATTTTTTTAGAACAATGACATCAAGTGCTGATTTCGGCCGTGAATCGCTACAAAGTTATGAAAAAGAGGCCATTAGACACTTGATGTATAGTCCTCTAGGTAACTAATAATGTACAGTGAAAATAATTTAAATTCATTTAGTTTGTTTCTTCGTATAATGATTCATCTCCGGCATTTGCTGTCGCCAGTTAGGACACCCAAGGAAGAATGCAAAGCGAAATTCATGGAGGAGTATTAGGCATCACAGAATTTGTTCCGGCTTTGAGTGTTATCTTGAGTTTCCGGCTTCGACTCAAAAATGGCCAACTGAAATTATGTGGCTGCTTCAGTTATTAATTCACTCCTGAGAGGTATACAGTGACTTCCTGGTCTGTCCCAGCATAGAATGATGGGGAAGTCGTTTTGCTCCCGTAATTCCTTCTCAGAAGTAGTCGAAAAGTGATAAGAGATGTTTATGATTGACAGAACAAAATTGTACACAGACCGCGATGAAGCTGTCTTACATTCAAATATTTGTTTCCTAGGTTTTGGTTTTCTGTGAAGTTGAAAAGAACATCATGACCTTTGCTAGGTCGTTGAAGATGAGATCTTGTTAACAATGAGTAAAAAGGTTCAGTGTTAAGTCACCAATATTGCAAACGCATGAACATTCTGTAGTGGTATTGGTTCTAACCACTTGATCCTCAAAGTTGAACATGGGATAACTAGGAAAATTTACATTCAACAGTGAATACGGAGTGTAGATCAGTAATGGTGAGCTAGGGAACAATCAATCGAAATGGCATGGTATGATAGTTAGGAGTATTTGAATTATAGTATAAACTAAGAATCCCAAAAATAACACAATTGGATCATGAAGTACTAGATAAGCACAAACGAATGTACTGTATTTAGAATTCGAAATCAAGCATTTAACAATTAAGAAAGAATCATTAGTTCATTCAAACACCACATATGGCTTGGTCATGCAGGCGTGGTCAGTCTATGTAACTCTTTGCCTTTTATATCCAATATTTTACTCTCTTCTCAGCCCAAATGTGTTCTTCAGAAGTTCGTGGCGTGTTCCATAATTCAGCTCACCAGTTGTAGCGTGGTGTCGAGTTGAGAATAACTATGAACACCGCTACCAAAAAACACGTGCCAAGTAAATCAGAAGGCAAAGGTTGAACGCAACCAAATAAATCCATAAAATCCCCGAGAAGCCAAATGTCAGAAGACAGTTAAAGGACCAAGTCGAGATATATTTGCTGGCGATCTCGTGGTATCGAAAGAATACCGAGATCGTGCCAGGATACAAGCTTGGTTACAGAATGTAACCAAATTCGCGCGAAGTCACAAGCAAAGTGTAAGAATAAGAATGGAAGCACAATATAACTGTAATTAGCACAGTCAAACAAAAGCACATTAAAACAAACACTGGTACAGCTGGTCATAATAATAATTGTTTTTATTAAACCAGTCGTGTTCTCGTGATAAATGTGAGTCACTACAATTTCTAGACGTCACATTGCTGATTGTCAAGACAGAAAAAGTCGGTATAGACTATGGTGTGGCTTTCATGTAAGATCATGTAGATTAGGTGGTCATATCATCCTAAAGTTTTAGTACTAGATCTATTATCATAAAGACAAAGACCAATGTCCTAATATCGAACCAGACCATGATTTCACAATTCCACCGTAATATGATATCACTCATGGTCGGGAAAGTGCCATTCTTCAACTAACTGCAATCTATAGTATATGTGAACGGAGAATAAGTGAATGGTAGCTGCCAAAAAAATTTTGGACTATTATATACATATTCTTATGACATTGTTATTAAACAAATCTATTTTACATATTTACATTCCTTTCAATATGAGCTTTTATTTGAGTCGTTAATTTTTACTATACGTTTTACTGTTCTTAATTTATTCCCGATCCATTATTTACAGTTTATCACTTGACTTGGCCCCATATAACTGTTATTTTTTCATTTCATTGTGTTGTAGATCATTACGGTAAATGATCTGTGTCAAATGATCGGGGGCTTACTCGAGTTGGATGGGAATAGTGAGATCAACCAGCTAACGTCGAAATCACAAATCACGGTTAGTACTTGACGTAAACTACCTTTTCGTTGTATCAAAATAGTATGGATGCGTTGATGACCGTGCGACAAGAACAACGTTAATAAAGAAATATGTCAGTAACAGTAGGTAAATGCAACAAAGTGTGACCACTGCTTCATGGGTCAGTCCATGAAAGGCATTAGCTGTTTTTGACCTTGATGAGGATCGATGAACTGTTTTATATTCAATGACCCGACTGCCCAATGACATTTCACTGGCCCTACAGTGCAACACATCCTGGTCTGCTTATATATGAATTATATATGTCTGAATTATAATGTACATAGAAAGGAGGCTGATTATAATGTTTCGAACTCAGTGGGCAGAGAAAGGTGAGAAGCTGTTGTGGTGATTGTTGTTATATCCTCTTATTTGAACCATTACAATTCTTACGACTGGAAGCAAGGCAATTAAGACTGTTAAAAGTAGAGATTTATTAAACCTGGAACATGACGATCCTAGTTGAAAATATACTCACTTATATTGATTGTACAGCTAGTTTGCTTATTAATTAGAACAAAAGCATATATCTGAAAAATATCCTGAATTCTAACAAACCATATAATACATATCAAGCTGAGCATATTTCACACTAATCTAAGACAAGAATAACGTAACTTGAACAAACACTCCACTTAAATAAATTAATGTTATAACTAACAAACAATAAAGAGGAAAACAAATGTTACGCAACACAATCATCATATTAGATTAAAAAACGGAAGTGATATTGGACAAAAATCACAATGATTAAAAGAATGTCATTTTGCCTTTTCATCCTATTATATCAGTTACATAGAGTTTAGACATGAATGTAGAGGAGATATTGAGTGTAAAATTTGTGAAAGTTTCATAATAATTAAGGTCAAAATGATCAATGAATTTGTTCCCAACTATTATCAAACCACGATAATGTGTTGAATTTGGTTTACAATGACATTGTAGGTTAGTTTCTATGACATATGTTTAATTTGTGTTATGCACGCATCAAACGATGGTCATATGAATGATAAGTTAAACACCACTATCTTAGATGATCAGAGAATTTTCTAGATGAAACTAAAGTTATCTATGTACTAATCCGTTAATTCATTTGTATAGATTCTGTTTCATTATTTTGTGAACATTTCGATGATATTTTAATAACCAATTATTCTTATGATCAAACACTGAGCATGCATTACTAATGTAATGCAATGTGTACTGTGTAAAGAATATTATACGTGAAATTGTAATTCGAAAGATTATTAATTGTATTTCTATTGTTTAATCAGTAGATTCATGTAATGTATTTTTAGGTCTTTCTTATAACTCATTGTTATACATTTCATTGTTCCAGATTTACCATGAACTGACTATTTCTTCATTACTCCTGTTTTTACTATTTATGACTAAGTTATATAAACATTGTTTTCCCTTAGTTGTGTTGCTGTGTGGTTATTTGAAGTATACAAATGTGTAAGTTTTGAGTTATGATTAAATAAAATACAACAGAGAACTGATCACTTTACTATCACTGTCTTCTGAATGACCAGTGGGTTCAAAGAGCGTCAAAAACCAATAGGCGTTAACGTTTTGAATATGATGTTTTAGTTGATGTATCAATTGGTTAATAAAAGATCACTGGTTTCAGTTGGAATACGGACAACTTAAACGATAACTGGACTATTGAGAGATCATATAACTGCTTTCTAACTATTATAGTCTGATTACACAGGACCCAATGCAACCCAAACAATATTTTTTTCGAACATAACAGTTAACTGAACCCAATGTAACTCAATGTAATCTACACGATAAGTTG